ATTGGGGAGTATTATCCTTCTCCGTATCACCTTTACAGTTCAAATATGCTCACACTTTTACCGCTTTAGTTTTTACCCCCTAACAATTAGAGATGAGGCAACCACTGAGTTTGTTCTACTTTCCACCTTTTTGCCCATCCTACCAGATTTTTGTTTACATTTTCACATTGTCTGACTAGATACCATTGTCATTCCACCCTGTCATCCTTATTCCTACCTTTTTGATGGGTGGAGAGGAACTGAACTTAAATATACTCAGTCCTGTTACTAAAGTTAGTCCAGTCACCATTTGGTTTGCTGTGTTTATTCCTTATAATACATTAGTGCCCAAGTCCTTATATTTTGAAACTTGGTGTATAACCTTTATATTTAAAGAACAGCTTGGCTACACACTCAACCCTCCAAATCTCTGGGTTCCACATCCGCAGATTTAACAAACTGTGGGTCTAAAATATTAGAAGGAAAAAAATTCCAGAACATTCCAAAAAGGAAAACCTGAATGTGCTGCACACTTGCAACTATTAATGTAGCGTTTACATTACTGAGCGACGAACACTTTCACTTTTCACTTTATATTGGGTATTGTAAATAATCTAGAGATGATTTAGAGAATTTGGGAAATGTGTCTAGCTTATATGCAAATACTACACCGTTTTATGTCATGGACTTGAGTATCTGTGGATTTTGGTGGCTGTGGGAGTCCTGGAACCACTTCCCTGCATGGATACCAAGGGATGACATATATTAATACTTGGCTCACACTTTCTTTCCTTGAGGATCCTGTAGGTGTTGCTCTGCTATCTGTCATTTAATGTCTGCTGAGAAATCTGATACAAGCTGACTCTGTTTCCTTCATAGATCTTTCTGTGTGCGTGCTCAGTCACTCAATCATGTCTGACTCTTTGTGACCCTATGGACTGTAGCCTGCTAGGCTCCTCTGTCCGTGAGATTCTCCAGGCAAGAATACTGGAGTGGGTATTCCCTCCTCCAGGGGATCTTCCCAACCCAGGGATTGAACCTGGGTCTCCTGTATTGCAGGCAGTTTCTTTACCATCTGAGCCACCGGTAGCTGCCCAAAGATTTACTTTTGTGTCTATAAAGTTCATTCATTTTACTAGAAAATGTCTTGGGACTTACCATTCTGGATCACTGATCTCCAGTACTACATGGGGTACCTTTTCGATTCATGAAATGAAATATTCCCTTATTTCAGAGAAGTTTTTCTGAATTATAATTTTAAATATTTATTCTGGCCCACTGTTTTCATCTTCTTTAGAAACCCTAGTTATGCATTTGTTGGATCTCCTTTACATTGTCTCTCCATCTTCTTGAATTCTTTCCTCTCTTTATTTCTATTTGGTTTTGTTCCCTTTTCTCATTTTAATCTCTGTACCTCTTACTGTACTTCCTATGAAGTCTACTCTCTTTGTGTTTCTTGTAGTTTGGTCTTCATTTCTGAAATGTTTTTGTCTTTTTCTTCTAGTTCTTTCCTGAGGTCTATCAGTTCTCACCTGTTGTCCTCATATCTTTTTCAAGAACTTCTCCAGTCGTTGTATTTCTGTTTTCTGGTCTTCCTTCAAGCGGGAATTACTTTTTTCTCAGCATTTTTTGTTTTAATTGTTTTCAATTCATGCTGCCATTTTGGATTAGAATTTCTGTTTGTTTTGTGGCGGTATTTTTATAGTGACGCATCTTTTTACATAAGGGAACACCAATGTGCCTTTCCCTCTTCATTCATGTAGCATCTTTGGATGGATGTTGTGTTTATGCCTTTAACAAATTTTTTTTTCCTCTATTTGAATTAGCAGAATTTTCCTGGACCAGCAACTAACAGGAGGTTTTGATGGAAATTGGGAGAGAGGCCAGCATCTTTCTCTAGATTTCTCTACTGAAAGACTCCCTCTGTTTTTACAGGAATAGATTGTTCCTTTAATATACGGTCTTCCTCTGCAACTTCTCTTCTGTTGCCTCTCAGAACCCAACCTGATTGAAGAGGCCACCATCTCCAACCTTGAATCCTCCTGGTTCATAAAGCCCTTGGCTCCTGTCTTCATTTTTAAAATTTTTTTATTTTTTGGCCACACCGCATGGTATGTGGGATCTTAGTTCCCCAACAGAGATTGTACCCATGCCCCCTGCGTTGGAAGCAGAGTCTTAACTACTGGACCAACAAGGCATCCCTTTTAGAAGTGGTGGCTGCTGTGATCTTGCACTAGTGGGTACCCCTGGTACCAGGCTCTCCCCCACCCCCACTGCCATATCTGCTGGTCTCAGGTGCCTTGTGCAACACTTACATGTGACTTGGAGTTTATGAGTTTTTCCTGCTCCTGGTTTCTCTCCCTAATGCTGTAGCTTGTGGTTTATTTTTTTCCTTTCCCTCATTGCTCAGTCTGACATCAGTAGAAGAGGGAAGACTCAGAACTAAGAATATGCCTTATTCTTCTTGGAAACAGAGGTTTCCTCCTCCTATTTTTCTGTCTGTCATAACGCCCCAAAAGCAAGCCGCTGCCTGCTAGTTTCCTGGCTTCAGGAATTTCTGTCCTCGGAACAACTTACAGGCTTCGGAGGGGGAACATTTTGTAACCTCGGCTCTGAAAACAGCCACTTATACAAGGATCATTGCCTTCTAGTATCCGTCAGTCTTACTTCTTGAGTAGAAATCATTTATGCCCTGAAAGAGTGGGGGTGGGGTCCATGGGAGGACCATACAGCAGATCCTCCAAATGGGGTTTGGAAGCTGGAGATACTGATTTTTCACACGGAGGAGGGTCTGAATTCTAAGACCAAGAGCCCACCCCCCTCAATTTTATGAATGTAAAGGGCATGGGGGCAGGCACAGGCCCAAGGTCACAGAGCCAATCAGTGGCGGAACAGAAGCTGTCAGCAGGGACCTGGGTTTGAATTCTCTACACCATTTCCTGCCTGGGTGACCTGCCCCAGGATCCCTCGGTGTATAGCCTCCACATCTGCTCAGCCATTAACTTATCAAGGAGGCAGATCAGCACGGGCCCTGCGTTCCCACAGTTAGAACTTTCGGTTAGTCGGGCTCTCGCTTCCCCGAGGTGCAGAAGGAAATCTGAGGCCCAACAAAGGAAAGGGAGTTGCCTAAAGTCACAGAGCAAATCCAGCGGGGCTGGGCAGACCGGCAGGCACCCTCCAGCCCCACTGCCACTAGCACGGCCCCTTGGACAAGCCACTTACGTTTCCTGAAGGTTAAACGGGGGAGCGGGTGCTGGGGTGAGCCGGAGTAATCCTGCAGCCCTCACTGGGGATCGGGCTGAACTGAGAAACACACTGACCTCAGCCAGGGCCGGTCAGGGCCTCCTGACCCCCATGAGATGCATCCTCCTCAAGCAGAAGGATGCAGTTGACTCTCTGATCTCTTCTTTTTTTAATTAACCTTTTTATTTTATTTACTTGTGTTTTGGCCGTGCCTTTTTGTCATGTGGGATCTTGTTCCCCGACCAGAGATGGAACCCCAGCCCCCTGTGATGGAAGGGCAGTCTTAAGCCCTGGACCACAAGGGAAGTCCTCCCCTATCTCTTCTGTCACCCATGGCACCCCCCTCCCCTGCCAGGTCTCCAGCCCTAAACCTCCCGGTACTTAATGAACCCCTGTGTCTTTGACTTGATATGGGGCACAGGTGCTAACTGGGGCCTTTGCGTCCCTCGTCTGGGGAAGAGCTTCCTTGGGGCGAGGGGAGGCAGCTGCCTATCTGGGTCCTTTGAATGTGGTCACCTGGCCTTTGGCCCCTGTCTGCCTCTGTGTCCTCCCCTTGCACCCCTGCCCCATGCAGTATCATGGGGTTAAGGACCAAAAGGGCACCCCAGGGTTGTTTGAGAGGGAAAAAGATGGAGAGAGAGATAGACCAGGTGGGACAGCAGGGGAGAGGAATGGGTAGGAGGGACCGAGAGAGGGGCCAGGGACAGAAAGGCGGAAAGAGGAAGAGGCGAGTGGGGTTGAGGCATCGATGGATTGCCAATTGGTTGATTGGAGAAATCTCTGGAAGGTGCCATCCTTTGGCTCCGAGGCTCTTCTCTCCTCTCCGGTCAGGGTCTGCTCTCCATGTCCGAGAACAAGGTTTCGCCAGCTGCTACCTCTGCCGTCCTGGGGGTCTCCAGGAAGGAGAAGGACCCTCTGGCAGTGCCTCCCCCATCCTTCCTATGGCTATCTGCCCACAGGCATTGGTTTCCAAACCCTGCCCTGCCCCCAACCAATAGCAGAGCCAGCAAGGGCCACGTGCAGGTAGAGAGGCAGCTAGAGATGCATGTGGTACCCAGGGCAGCCTCTGCACTCCCCTCCCACAGGTGAGGAAACTGAGGCCCCCGGTCTTAGGTGACCTGTCAGGGACTTCCCTGGTGGTCCAGTGGCTAAGACTCCACACTCCCGATGCAGGGGGCCCAGGTTTGATCCCTGGTCACAGAACTAGATCTCACAGGCCACAGTGAAGATCAAAGACCCCATGTGCTGTAATAGACCCAGCACAGCCAAATGAATAAATGAATAAAATAAATTAATAAAAAGAAGGGAGGACTTCCCTGGCAGTCCAGTGGCAGTCCAGAAGTCCTGCACTTCCACTGCAGGTGGCTTGGGTCCAATCCTTGGTCAGGGAATTAAGATCCTACAGGCCATGTGGCAAGGCCAAAAGAAAATTATAAAATTTTTTTTAAGTCTTTTTTTTTTTAATTAAGTGACTATCACAGAAGTTGAGGACAGGTAGTCGCTTGCATCTGCTGAGTCCAGAGCTGGGTCCTGGCTCCCAGGGTCCATGGGAGGGAAACACTGGAGAAACTGCAACCCTGACATCTAGTTGCATGTGGGCTGGTGTGAGAGCTGAGTTCTAGTCCCGCCCCGACTGTGGTTCTCTGCGTGGGACTGGGCGTCACTAAGCCTCCATTTCTCCCCCTCTCGTGTGAGGGGCTGGGCAAGTCGTCTCTAGCTTGGGATAGTTGGTGGCTCCTAAACCCAGTAAGTGCCAGAGAGCCCTGTCCCGCTTTTACCGGGTCTCGTCCCCGTCCTCCCCCAGTGAGCAGGCCACCAGCATCCAAGGCACCTCCTCGTCTCTGGGAGCAGAGACCGTGGCTGGGGAGCGCTGCACAGCCAGTACCCAGACCTGAATCCTGTGCCCACCCCCAAAGTTGGGAGTGGAGTCTGTGGGGCAGGGGCGGTTCCCCAAAGGAAATTGGGGTGCGGTTATCAGAAGTGGGAATGCACGCTGGACAACCCAGACCAGCAGACGGCCACACCGTCTCCCCTGGGGACCCCAGTTACACATGAGTTATAACCCTTTTCTCTGCCACGGGCTGGACCCAGGAGCCCAGCAAGGGTCAGAGGTGGAGCCTCCCTACTTGGGGGGCAGAGTTGGGTGTAGGCCACAGTGGGGGGTGATGAGCGCCAGGTCTAGGAGCCTTTTCTAGATATGTGAGCTTGATGCCCTTGATGCCATGTTTCTGAGGTGGGATCCACGGAGCCTGTGCTGAGGGCCAGCTCAGAAGGGGACTGGTCGGACCTTTAGCCCTCTGTCTCCGCCAACCCTGCACTTCTTACCCTTCCTTCCTCCCTGAGCTGGACCACGGCGGGTCTTGATGATGGAAAGCCACAGAAGGACAGAGCCGGGACATGACCGTAGTTAGGTGCTAAGACGGAATATCTCCCCAAGGCAGGGCTGGAGGTGGTGGCCAGGAGATAGGAGGAGGTGGCAGGAACGCACCAGGCTGCACTGACAAAGGCCAGGACTTGGGCAGCTCTCCCGGGGACTGGAGAGTGCTTTGGGCCTGAGGTCACACGGCTACTGGGCTTCGGCCAGCTTCACGTCATAAACGGTTTCTATTCCCGGGTCTTGGGCTCCGGCACCAAATACGGTGCTGCTGCTTGCGTCTGGCTCCCTCAGCCACGGCCAGCACATCCTGCCTCCTCGACAGGCTCCTATCCCCATCCTGAAAAAACACCCCATGGGAGAGCCAGGACCCTCCGGGCCCCCACACAGCCCCGGCCTCGCTCCATCCGCCGCCGGTCTGTGTGTGCTCAGCAGTGTGGTTCACAGAGGATTAAAAATACTCAGGACCGAAATAGCCTCTCTCCCTGTAGGGGAAAACCAGGGCCCGGGGAACACACGGTTATGGGTTGACATCAACGGCTCTGCCACTCACAACCCGGCTGGGGGATCCCAGGCAGCTCTCTTTGACCCCCCCCCTAGTTTCCTCCCCTCATGTGCTCACTATTTCCTCACTCGTTGATTTGCTAACTCATTCATCTGTTGATTCATTCATTCACTGATCACTCATTGATCGGCCCCTTCGTTCACTCACTTGCTCCTTTACATGTGTACACACCCACACGCTGAGTCACTCACTATTTATTTATTACATACCAAGACCCAGGCACTATTCTAGGCACTAAAAAAATAAACAATAAACCTACCCCAGACATACGAAAATACCTATCCTCATAGGGGTTACATTCCAAATAAATAACCAAAACAGACAAGTACAGAAACGTACAATATATTAGAATAAGTACTAGGAGAACAGACCAGAGGAGGAGGCTGTGGGGCGGTGGGGAAGCTGGGATCTTAGAGGGGCCGGGGCGGGAAGGACGTGGGAAGATGAAGGGCCCAGCCCTATGAACATCTACAGGAAGAGCATTCCGAGCAGAGGGAACAGCAGGTACGGAGGCCCTGAGACGTCAGCATTGGGGGATGGGTTTGAGGAAGAACCAGGAAGCCAGGTGGTGATGGGGAGAGAAGCGGGTGTGAGGTCAGGGTCGGGGGACGTGCCACCCCTCATGAACTGGGCCTTCCACCTCACTCATCGTCTGAGCAGAGGAGCAGCCTAGCCAGACTTGCATTTTTAAATCGTCCCCCTGGCTGTTGCCTGGAAAATCCCATGGACGGAGGAGCATGATAGCTTATAGTCCATGGGGTCGCAAGAGTCGGGCACAACTGAGCGACTTGACTTTCTTTCTTTTCTTGGCTGTTGAGTGGGTGAATCAGGCGGTGAGTCCCATTTCCTGTTGACTGCTGTGTACCTGATGCTGAGCCAGGCCCTGGGGAGAGAGAGGTGTGCAGGTCTCCTCTGTGCTCACGGCTGACTCCCTTCTCATCAAGTGTCACCTCCTCCAGGAAGCCGCCTGCTCCCTCTCTGCTGGCCCCTTGGCTCCAGTTCTGCCATCATCGGGTTGATTGCCTCTCTCCACATGGTCTCCCCTTGAAGCCGAGCACTCCTCCAGGGTGGAGCTGCACCTAACTCTTCTCTTCTCCCCAGCATGTTCCCCCAGGGGCCGAGCCTCACTCTGTCTCTCGCCATCTTTTGCAGATGGATTTGCGGGCATGGAGAGCGTGGGGAAGGACCCAGTTCCTGCTGGCAGAGAAGGCTGGCTGCTGACTCAGGGCGTGTCTCCAGGAGGCCGACCAGGCTGCCCGGTTCCCCACCTTGCCACCATGGGCTGCCCAGGCTGGTCAGTTTCCAGCCTATGCCATGGCTGTGGTTCCCGACCTCAGCTTTGGGGAGGGACGGGCCCCAGTGGACAAGTCACAGCCTCCTGGGACCCCGCTGTGACCACAAGACCCCTCTGTCCTGGGGAAGGGTTGACTCTGGCTCCCCCAGGCTCCCAGGCTTCACCCAGTGCCCCGCCCGCTTGCACCCAAGCTTCCTGGCCTCGAAAGTGGAAACTATGCAACTGCACCCTGGCATTATTGAGGCCCTGGGTGGATGTGGATTCAGGACAGTAAACGCTGGCCAGCGTTCTGTTAATAGTGAGTACTGTCCAGGTCGACGTGTACAGAGTCCCCAAGCGCCAGCATGTTCACATGGTTGTGCCATCTCTCTGCAGGGCAGGATGGCGCAGTGGTGACATTACAGACCTAGAGCCAGGTGGCCTGGCCTCAAACCCCCCGCCCTGCTACTTGCCAACCAGAGGACTCTGCATGAGTTGCTGAACTTCTCTGTGTCTCGGTGTCCTTACCATGTAAAAGGAGGATGATTCCCGCCCCACAGGGTGGCTGTATTTAATGAGTTAATATGTTTGAAATGCTGAGAAGGCCCCCTGACATGTGCATGGTAGGCAGTCAGTATTCGCTGAGTGAATGAATATAATCCTTGCTCTAGTATGACCATCCTGCAGCTGGTTCAGGCAGACACAGGTCTCATGTGTCCCAGGATTCACATGGTCCCACCACAAGCCTCTCCTATTCCTCCCAGCCTCCTGCAAGTCACCCGGGAATGTTCCTGCTGCCAGCCAGCCACAGCCGGGGCATTGAGAGTGAGGGTCCGAGGGCAGCGGTGCTAGTCAGGTGACAGAGTGACAGCTTATATAGCACAACCTCCCATCCCTCTCCCTCCAGGCAAGGGCTAGGGAAGCCTGGGGCCCAGGAGACTCTGTTATGACCACCCCAAGGGCTTGGGGACCCAGCAAGCATGCCCACATGCCTGGAGTCCACCCGTCCTGCTTCTGAGCGAGCTTGCATGCCAGCACCCAGCCCCCCAGGCCTCCTGCTGAAAGTCCCTGTGGCTGCGGGCAGCCCTTCCTCTTAGACTAACCAGCTCCAGGCCCGGCTGGTGGAACTGAATGAGGCTGAGAGATGCCTGCACTGGGGACTCACATCATAGGCCACCAGGCTGGCAGTTCAGAGGGGACAGACCTTGCAGAGAGGCCAGAGCCTGCCCTGGGCCCATGTTGGCCTCACATTGTGGGTGGCGCTGGCCCAGCCCTTGGGGAGCTCACCGGTGCGGCACAGAGTGGAAGGGACCCTGCCCAGGTCTCAGCCCATGGCCTGCCGCTCCCACTTTACAGCTGAGGTCAGAGAGGGGCCCTGAGCACCTGGCCGGCCCGTGGGGTCTGGAAGCCGGCGTCAGCCATGGCTGGCGTCTGTGGGCAGTGTTCTTGGGCTGGGGAAGCCAGCAGGCTGCCTGAGTGTGGTGCTCGTCTCTTACAGACCAGCCGATTCCTGCTGGAGGCTCCTGACATCTGGGGAGATGACGTCTGCGCCCCCCGACTGCCTGCTGCGGCTGCTCCGGGGCACCCCGAGGCAGCGGGTCTGCACCCTGTTCATCATCGGCTTCAAGTTCACGTTCTTTGTCTCCGTCATGGTCTACTGGCACGTCGTGGGAGAGCCCGGGGGTCGAGGACAGCTCTCTAACCTGCCTGTCGACGTCCCCTGCCCCCACGTGGTCCCTCTGACCCCCCTGCCCTCCGGCACCCCGCCTCCAGGCAACATCTTCTTCCTGGAGACCTCCGACCGGACGAACCCCAACTTCCTGTTCATGTGCTCCGTGGAGTCAGCCGCCAGGGCGCACCCCGAGTCCCCGGTGGTGGTCCTGATGAAGGGACTGCCTGGCGGAAACGCCTCCCGCCCGCGGCACCTGGGACTCTCGCTCCTGGGCTGCTTCCCCAACGTCCAGATGCGCCCCCTGGACTTGGGGGAGCTCTTCCGGGACACGCCCCTGGCCGCCTGGTATGTGGCCGTGCAGCGGCGCTGGGAGCCCTATCTGCTGCCCGTGCTCTCGGACGCCTCCAGGATCGCGCTGCTGTGGAAGTTCGGCGGCATCTACCTGGACACGGACTTCATCGTCCTCAAGGACCTGAGGAACCTGACCAATGCGCTGGGCACCCAGTCCCGCTACGTCCTCAATGGTGCCTTCCTGGCCTTCGAGCGGCACCACGAGTTCATGGCGCAGTGCATGCGTGACTTCGTGGCCCACTACAACGGCTGGATCTGGGGCCACCAGGGCCCGCAGCTGCTCACGCGGGTCTTCAAGAAGTGGTGCTCCATCCGCAGCCTGAGCGAGAGCCGCGCCTGCCGCGGCGTCACCACCCTGCCCCCCGAGGCCTTCTACCCCATCCCCTGGCAGAACTGGAAGAAGTACTTTGAAGACATCAGCCCGGAGGAGCTGACCCAGCTGCTCAATGCCACCTTCGCGGTCCACGTGTGGAACAAGAAGAGCCAGGGCACGCGCTTCGAGGCCACGTCCAGGGCCCTGCTGGCCCAGCTCCACGCCCGCTACTGCCCCACGACACACGAGGCCATGAAGATGTACTTGTGAGGGGGCCTGCCGGCTCACCTCTCTGCACATGGCAGAGAGGGGCTCTGGGTGCCTGCCTTCCTGGGGGAGGTGAGATGGGAGGGGTGGAGATGGGGAGGCTGGGCTGCTGCAGCCCCGGGATCTGGGGCAGGTGGTAGGGAGGACGGGGAACTGTTGGCCAGAGAGCTGTTACTGGAGGGCGCGCTGCGGCCCCTGGGGCCTGCTCTGGTGGGCCACCCCCTGGGCCCACGTACCGTCACAGGGTTGACCAGTGGTGGGGGAAGCGTCTCCAGACAGAATGAGCTGGAGTGGGCCAGGTGAGCAACCCTGGGTCTTGTTCACAACGGGCAAGCCCAACGAATATGAAAGCACCTTGCAGGGTGGCAGGCTGGGCTGAAGTGCCCACGAAGTCGGGGGTGGGGGTGGAGTGAGGGGAGCATGGAGAAGCAGGTAGGAAGGAAGGGGAGGAGGCAGCTGGTGGTGGAGGAGGGCCAGGCGGCAGACCCAGCTTCAGGAGCCCAAGGGGTGGGGTGCTTTCGGGGTTTTGGTTTCCTTTTCCGGGGGAGGTGGGGTGGCGGGGCGCAGCCAGCAGAGTTGGCCTGGGGAGCTCTTTGGGAAAGGCCCTGACTACCCACCCCGTCCTTTTTCCCAGAGATGTTGCAGGAGTGACACGGGCCAGCTGCCCACTCAGGGGCAAGGGGCCTGGAGTCCTTTCGGCTCAGGAAAAGCATTTTAAAGAAAACACCCCCTACCCTGCCCGCAGTAAACACAATAAAGTGACTCACCCACATCCAGCGCTTGCTGGTGGCTGAAATGCATTCATTCGCACCGCTCTCGTGAGCCCCACCCTGCAGCTGCGGGCCGGCATCTGGGCGGGCAGCGCTGGTGCCTCGCCTGAGTGCACACGGCCTGCCTTGCTCAGAGGGGTCTGGGGACCTGGCCACTCGGCGGGCTCTGGGCCTGGGTGCCGGAGAGTGACTGTGGTGGGCAAGGGGAGGAGCCTGCCTTCCCACCTCATTTTTCAAGGCTCAGACAGCCTCGGTTGGGTCCCCCCAGCACTCCCACTTCCACCCCATAATCAGCCTGATTCTGTTCTGGCCTGAACAGAGCCAGATGAGGAACCCAGCACCCGGGCATGCTCCTAGGTTACAGGAGGCCCAGGGAGGGAGGTGCCAGGCCTGTGGGGTCCCTCCCGGCTCACGCTGGCTGTCTGAGAACCTTGGAGAGACTACAGTGCCATGCTGGCAGCCCCAGGGATGGGCCAGAGGAAAATCTCGCAGGGTGAGGCCCCAGCTGGTTTGTGTTGAGGAAGGAAGCTTCCTGTGAGAGCTGGGCCTACCAGCAGGCTGCAGAAGCCCTCCCCGTAGGACGGAGGACTAGGGATACTGTCAGGAACTCGGGCTCAGCAGGCTGCTCTTTGGCAGCCAAGGCAGAGGTGTTTAGAGGCCTCTGGATCCTGCCAGTAGAAGATCGTGGGCAGCCTGGTAAGGAGGTGAGGTCCCTGGCTCTAGGGGTAATCAAGAGCAGGTGACATTTTTGATTGAAACAATGAATGTATGAGGTAGTTCTCCAACCACAGCATCATCTCACCTGTCTTTTAAAATCTTTTGAAAATTAGTAGGTTTTACTTCAATAGTACAGCCTGGGATGAGAGCTTGCCCTCCTCATCACCTCGGGTGCAGCACCCCCAATGCAGAACCCTTCCTGGGCCCTTGGGCCTGGACTGGATTCCAGAGAGACCCTCTGCTTCCTTCTGCCCCGTTGCAAGTTGACCATCGCCTGATGCCTGGCAGCATCAGTCCGCTGACCCTGACGGAACCTTTGTTGGGCATTCGCTCTTAAATTCTCAGAAAGGAGAAGAAAGGGAGGGGTGGGCTCCTGGGGAAGGCTGCCCTGGCGACAGTAATCAGATCCTAGGAATCCTGTTACTTGTTTCTGGCCGATGTTTTTACAGATATTTTTGTCTGGGGAGATGAGATCCCATCCCTCCACTAGGGGGCAGTGTGTGGTCCAGCAGGGGCCAATGGCAGGTCTCCTGTCAATTATTTAATGAACCCCCCAAGCTGACCAGTCACACGCAAGCAAGGAGGTAGCATTTCCAGCAGCTCTGGGGTAGGGGAATAATTCCCCCTTGCTGCTGTATCAATATTCAACTTCTTGTTTAAACATTAAATTAGAATGTCCTCTATCTGAGAAAGAAGATGGGGGATAATTTAGAACTCTGTTCCTGGAAGTTTGGTTTCATGGTTCACTTGTTCCTAAATCTCTGTCCTAAAGTGGACCAGCCAGTGCAAGGCATGCTGGGAAGTCTGCCGTGGCCCAGCCAGCGCAAGGCACACTGGGAAGTCTGCTGTGGACTAGCTAGTGCAAGGCATGCTGGGAATTCTGCTGTTAGGTGGACAGGGCCGGACAGGCCTTCAGGACCTGACAATGGACAGAAGACTCAAGTGCAATCTAGGCAGCACGGTGGGGGTCGGGGAGGTCACCCCCTTCCCTGGACTGGGACCAGGAGTAGGAGGGAAAGGTGGTAGGTGAGACTAAACTTGGTGGGGTGTCGGGAGGAGACAACCTCAAACAGGAAGACGTTCCTTGCAGACATAGTCCACCATCAACAAAAATTGGAACTCCACACCAGCCCCCACCAACTTCCGAGGAAGAAAGATCAGAGAGGAGGTCCTGGCTGCTAGAAACAACTCAGGTAGCTGAAATCAGGAGGGCACTTATTTTTTTATTTTTATTTTTACAAAGTGTTTATTGATTTATTTATTTGGCTGCATCAGGCCTTAGCTGCAACACTAGACATCTTTGTTATGTCACATGGGATCTTTCTCTGCAGCACACAGACTCTAGTTGTGGTACACGGGCTTAGTTGCTCCAAGGCATATGGGATCTTAGTTCCCCGACCAGGGATCAAACCCGAATGCCCTGCGTTGCAAGGTGGATTCTTAACCACTGGACCACCAGGTAAGTCCCAAGAGGGCATTTATTATCCCACATGATATATTGGCTAAGGTACTTGAGAAGCTACTATAACAAAAAGACCCCAAAATAAAGTCACTTAAATAAAGTAAAAGATTGTTTCTGTCTCAAATCATTGCTCCAAGGTGAGTGTGCCAAGGCCGATGGGGCTTCCAAAAGACTACATGTGTGCTAAGTCACTTCAGTCATGTCTGACTCTGTGACCCCATGGACTGTAGCCCACCAGGCTCTTCTGTCCTGGGATTCTCCAGGCAAGAATATTGGAGTGGGTTGCCATTTCCTCCTCCAGGAGATCTTCCCGACCCAGGGATCAAACCTGTGATTCCTGCATTACAGGCGGATTCTTTACCACTGAGGCTCCAAAGGACTCTAGCTGTTGCAATTTTCCAGCTAGTGGGAACAGGGGAAGAGAACGCCCAAGGCAAATGTCTTTTTTTTTTTTTTTTAGTATAGTTGGTTTACAATGCTGTGTTAGTTTCTGCCTGCTAAGTCTATTCAGTGGTGTCTGAGTCTTTGTGACCCTATGGACTGTAAGTTCCTCCAAGTTCCTCGGTCCATGGGATTCTCCAGGCAAGGATACTGGAGTGGGTTGCCGTTTCCTCCACCAGGGGATCTTCCTGACCCAGGGATCAAACCTGCATCTCTTTTGTCTCCTGCGCTGGCAGGCAGATTCTTCACCAATAGAGCCACCTAGGAAGTGTTAGTTTTACTGCACAGCAAAGTGAATGAGTTCTATACATAAACATATGAAAAGTGAAAGTGATTCTTTACTGTCTGGACCACGAGGGAAACCCACATATACATACATCCACTCTTTTTTAGATTCATCTCTCATGTAGGTCATTAAAATATTGAGTTGAAAAAAAATAAAATAAAATATTGAGTACAATAGGTCCTTATCAATTATCTATTTTATATATAGTAGTGTGAAGGCAAACATCCTTAAGGAAATAATACAGAAATTGTAGGTATCACTTCTGTTTATGTCCCATTGGCCTGGACTTAGTCACATGGCCACACCCAACTGCCAAGGATGCTAGAAAGTGTGGTCTGCAACTGGGGCTCCCAGATGTCCAACTAAAACTCAACAGGGTTTATTACTAGAAGGATGACAGGAAGAATGGCCACTAGAGAACTGTTAACAATGCCAACCATAAGCAATAAGGAGTCTGGTGATAGGGTTTCTCCAGGGTTGATTAATTTAGTAGCTCACCAATGTCTTCAAGGATCCAGTATAGTCTCAGGCTTGTTCCCTCATGGCCTCAAGATGGCTGCCACTACAGCATCACACCCTTAGGCACTAAAACAAAAAGGCAGAAAAGAGAATGTTTCTTCCTTGCGTCTATGAAAACTCAGAAATCCCCTTCTCCAAATGACTTCCTCTAACTCTCCTTGGCCAGAATAGCATTACCTGTCCATTCCTGCTCCAATTATTAGCAAAGGGAGTGGAATGACCAAATTTGGCTTATGACCTGTTGAGAGTCACCCTCAGGGCATGTGATATTTCTACTTCATAATCATTTCTAAGAACTTACAGACAACTAAAGGAGAAGTTGAACTGTGATGCAGTCCCTTTACAAGGCTCAGGCAACTCCCTGATGCTGAGATGGACTTGCAGAGCTGTCCTGAGCTGGGGCAAGTTTCTAGGTCCTTATGGTCCACACTGATCTGTCACTGGAGACAGGCTGTCCCTGAAGAAATGACCTGGGATGAGCCAGTTTCTTCAGCCCAGGCAAATGAGCTCCTCTGTTGTTTCTGCCTCAGGAGCTTGGAGGAAGGATCCCGTTGACCCAGCCCCAGGCCTCTGAAGAGGGGCCACCAGTCAGCTGGGGCCAGAGTCTCTGAGGAGGTGGGATGCAGAGTTTGGAGAAAAATCTAGAACTGGGACTGAGTGTCACTGCTGCCTGAAGAGCCCAGAAATAAACCCTTATACTTACAGTCAATTCTTTTTACATGGGTGGCAAGACAGTTCAATGGGGAAAAAATAGTTTTCTCAACATATGGTGCTAGAAAACCGGATATCCACATGCAAAAGAATGAAGTTGGACCTCCCCACACACATCATATGTGAAAACCAATTCAAAATGTATTGTCATGTAAGGGTTAAAACTATAAGACTCAGAAGAAAAGATAGGATTTAATCCTTACCAGTTTGGATTAAGCAATGGTTGAAATATGACACTAAAAGCACAAGTGACTAAAGAAGAAAATAGTTGAATTGGACTTCATTATAATTAAATTTGTTTTTATGTTTCAAAAGGACACAATCAAGGAAGGGAAAAGACCAAATTCCCTGGCGGTCCAGTGGTTAGTCAGGACTCTGCACTTTTCACTGCTGAGGTCCCTGATCAAGGAACTAAGATCCCACAAGCTGCCTGGTGCAGCAAAAAAAGAGAGAGAGAGAGAGAACCCACAGAATGGAATAATTTGTTTTTTTGCGGGGGGCGGGGGGGGCAGTGTAGGATCCTACTGCATGTTTTGTAGGATCTTAGCTCCTTGACCAGGGATGGAACGCTAAGCCCTGTGCAGTGGAAGTGCAGCCATTGGACCACCATGGAATTCCCTGGAATCAATTATTAATTTTCATCAATTATATGTCTGATAAGGGACTTGAATCTGGAATATATAAAGAATTCTCACAACTGAAAAAACAACAAAAAGCAATTAAAAATGGACAATGGATTTGAAAACATTCTCCAAGGAAGATATACAATGACCCAAAAGTACGTAAAAGGATGTTCAACATCATTAATCATTTGGGGAGTGGAACCAAAGCCACAGTGAGATACCAACTTCACACCCACTAGGATGGCTATAATCAGAAAGAGGAGGCAACGACCAGCGTCAGAGAGATGCCTTACATGACTGGGGGACATAAAATGGTGTAGCCGCTTTGGAAAACAGTTGGGCAACTCCTCAAAAAGCTAAGCGTGGAGTTACCTCATGACCCAGAAATTCCCTTCACCAGTGTATACCCAAGAGAACTGAAAACATGTATCCACACAAAAACACGTACTTGAATGTTCTTTTTTTTGGCTGTGCCAGATCTTAGTTGCAGCACGTGGGATGGAATTCCCCAGCCAGACATATAACCCAGGCCCCAGGCATTGGGAGCACAGAGTCTTGGCCACTAGACCACCAGGGAAGTCCCACGTACATGAGTGTATATAGCAGTATTATCATTATAGCCAAAGGCGATAACAACCCAAATATCCACCAACTGATGAAGGGATATGTCCATACAGTGGAATATTATTCCGCAATAAAACGGAAGGAAGTACTGACACATGACATAACACGGA